CAGACTCAGACCAGCCAAATTTTTCTACGATCAGACCGTAAAGGTGTTTGAAGTTATGTTACCTGCAAAGTCTTTCATTCCGAATGACTTTTTTAGGAAAATAGAGCAAGTGACAAAACCTAAGAATGGTGCACTGTTATTGACTTCATGGATAACATTTCTGAGAAATATTGGTCTGAAGCATGAGGTCTCACAGCAACAAGTCCTCCAGTTTGCAAAAGAGATCAGCATCAAAGCCCAGACTGAAAGTTGGACCAAAGAAAAAGTGCAAATTGTTGTCGATGTACTTTTGAATCATATCTTTAACGAAAGAGTTGACCTCTTTCAGGGTACCTTTCTGAAGGAACTGTCAATGATACCATTTCTGTGTCCAGAAAGAGCTCCCAAAGAACTCATTAAACTTCATACTCAGTATCAAGAGATGAGTGGCACAGTGCCTCTGATACGTTTCAGTGGATCTCAAGTAAACCCAAAGTTCAAACAAACAGATATAATACACTTGCTGTGGACATCCTGCCCAATCCTACCTGAGAAAGCTACACCTTCAAGCATAAAGGAACAGGATGACAGTGGTCTTGGTGGACAGGAACAGCTTGACCAAGTTCTAAACATGTTGGGTGTCAACTTGGACCCACCTTTGGAGAAAGTCATAAGCAACTGCAAGAACATTTGCAACATATCAAGTCCAGATGATGAAATGGTGAAAACAAGAAATAAAGTTTTGAGGTCCACATATGAATTCCTCAGTGCGGACAAACGAGATTTCCATTACCTGCTACGTGGGGTGACATTTGTCATGGTTGAAGATGGTTGGAAATTACTGAAACCTGAGGAAGTGGTCATCAATTTAGATAATGAATCTGACTTCAAGCCCTACTTGTATAAATTACCTTTGGAACTAGGCACCTTTCATCAGTTGTTTAAGCTTCTTGGCACAGAGGATGTTGTGTCAACCAAACAATATGTTGAGGTGCTGTGGAGAATTTACAGGAGTTCTGAAGGAAAGCAGCTTGACCCAAATGAAATGAGAACTGTGAAAAGGGTGGTCTCTGGATTGTTCAAGTCCCTTCACAATGATCCACAGGAAATTCGCAAAGACCTTGAGAGCCTCAGAGATTTGATATTTTACTTGCCAAGCCATGATGGGAGACTTGCAAAATCCAATACCCTGGTGTTTGATGATGCCCCACACTACAAAAGCCGAATTCAAGGTAACGTTGGGGTTCAAATGCTTGTGGACATGAGCCAGTGTTATCTGGGGAAAGACCATGCTTTCCACACAAAGCTTATTATGCTACTTCCACAAAAACTAAGGCCGAGACTACTGAGTAGCATTCTCGAGGAGCAGCTTGATGAGGATTCTCCAAAAATGTGTCAATTTGGTGCTCTTTGTTCCCTGCAAGGTCGCCTTCAGCTTTTGCTGTCCTCAGAGCAGTTTATCACTGGTTTGATTAGGATAATGAAGCATGAGAATGATAATGCGTACCTTGTGAATGAAGAAAAAGCCATACGTCTGTGCAAAGCACTTTGTGAGGGACTCAAAGTGTCCTGTTTTGAAAAACTGCAGACAACTTTAAGAGTGAAAGGATGCAGTCCCATCCCACACAGTCGCAGTGAAACACTAGCTTTCTTGAAGAGGTATGGATCATCTGTAATTCATCTCTACATCCAGCATTCAGACAGTAAAGACATAAACTTTCTTCTGGCATTAGCCATGACATTGAAATCTGCAACAGACAATTTGATCTCTGACACATCATATTTGATTGCCATGCTAGGCTGCAACGATATTTACAGAATCACTGAAAAACTAGACAACCTTGGTGTCAAGTATGACTCAACAGAACCCTCAAAACTTGAGCTACCCCTCCCTGGAACTCCAATTCCTGCTGAGATACACCACACATTGCTCATGGATCCAATGAATGTATTCTATCCAGGGGAATATGTGGGCTATCTTGTGGACTCTGAAGGAGGAGACATATATGGTGCCTATCAGCCCACCTACACCTATGCCATCATCGTTCAAGAGGTAGAAAGAGAGGAGGAAGAAAATACAAGTTTCCTTGGAAAATGCTTCCAGATTGATATTGGTTACAGTGAGTACAAAATAGTGAGTTCCCTCGACTTGTACAAGTTTTCAAGACAAGACGAAAGCACCCATATCCGAGATACTAATTCCCCGCAAACCCCTACAAGCCCAGAGAGTCGATCCTCTGGTCTACGAATGATGCCTCCTGTCTTTTCTGGAAAAGAAAACCTTAGACCTCCTCCTCAGAAACAGTCTCCCAAAAAGATTAAACTTCACGCATTACCTGAGATTCTGAAAGAAGTGACCTCAGTCGTCGAACAAGCCTGGAAGCTTCCAGAGACAGAAAGAAAAAAGATAATCCGCCGGTTGTACCTTAAGTGGCATCCAGACAAAAATGCAGAGAATCTGGACATTGCAACAGAAGTGTTCAAGCACCTGCAAAATGAAATCAATCGCATGGAGAAACAGTCTGTGGCTGATCACCAAAATGCAGACAGAACTTCCAGGAGAACCTTCTCCACATCATCAACCCGCTTCCAGTCAGAGAAATTCTCATATCAAAGGTATTATTCATCGTGGAACCAGGAAGCAACCAGTCACAAGTCGGAAAGACAACAGTTCAGGGAACATTACACTAACTATGCAGGGTCTTCACACTCCCATCGTTTCTTTGTACCCCCAACCTTTAAAACAGTTGGAAACCCTGTGGAAGCCCGCAGGTGGCTGAGACAGGCCAGAGCAAATTACTCTGCTGCTCGCAATGATCTTCATAAAAATGCTAATGAATGGGTTTGTTTCAAGTGCTACTTGGCCACAAAGCTTGCCCTAATAGCTGCTGACTATGCAGTCAGAGGAAAGTCTGACAAAGATGTTAAACCAACTGCTCTTGCTCAGAAAGTGGAGGAGTACGGCTCCCAATTGAAAGGCCTTGCAAATGATGTTCAGATCTTGGAGGGATATGGCGTGGACAGTCTGAGGACCCGTTACCCTGATCTCCTGCCATTCCCACAGATTCCCAATGATAGATATACATCTGAGGTGGCAATGAGGGTGATGGAATGTACTGCAAGAATTATCATAAAGCTTGAAACATTTGTGCAGCATAAAATATGATAACATTGCTTAATAAAAGTCTGCAGATATTCTCAGTGAAACCAAGAACCCATATGGCTGTATGCAAAAGACATCACAAAGAATCCGCTGGCAGCTTCTGCAAAATGCAGTTTCTATCTGTGAAAGTGGGACATGCAAAGAGAATAAATACATGGCTCCCATACCTTGTTGGCCCATATATGTGCATAGGCTGTACATAGCTATGCCTCAGCAATATGTTTTGTTTACCAAAGTCCCCAAACTGACTATATTTACTCTTAGATTAAAAAAAAATGCAGCTTTTTTACTTTATCTTTTATAAAAATAAAAGAATATATTTTCTTGCTATAGAAAACTAATTCAGTGTACTTAAAAGATGTGCTTACTAGAAAGTATCTATACCCTGTTATATACAATGACTGCTCTCATACAGTGTGTCCTACTTTCAAAAGATCTACTAGCCCAGAAAACGCAATCATGTTTGTAATTGTTCTGTTTTTGTACTTTCCTGATTGTTTTCATATAATTTCTGTAAAAGTTGTACATTTCTTGTAACATTGTCAGCCATTTTGTTATGGAAGAAGCACTTTTGGAAACTCACTTGTATTTTCACTCATGTAGCATCAGTGCTTGGGGCAACTTGGGAAAATCCAACTGTGAAGAGAAACCCTTTGATTTAATTTATGCAGTAACCCTTTTTCTTCTTCGAAATCCCTGAAATGTTTTGCATCATGTTGACTTCATGTTCCTCTTTTCAAAGCTGGTGAGCAAATGTTTGAGCACATTAATGCTGTGTCAAAGAGCCATATGAATTTAGGTGTTATGAGGTGGGCCCAAATGTGACTTGTAATATTTCTAATTTACAACCATGTCTATATTTTTTTGTGATGTGAACTGTTCTGGTTTAAGGAACATTACAGCATCAATTGGCTGTTCTTGTGTGTATTTTTTGCTTTACCAGTCTGATTTTACAAATATGCTAAATACTGATCACATACTTTGGAAGTCATTTGCAATGAAATGCAATCTGAAATCTTTTGCTTGATATCTGTTTGCTTATTTCATCTCAAGTTTCAGGTAACTCTGACATCATCACATTGAATGAACCTTGAGTGTCAAATGTGGTCAGTGCCACAAGGCCTAATAAATTCCCATTAAAATTTGCATTCCCACATTGAGATAAATCATTTAGCAAAATACTGCAGTTAGTGCAATTTAGTACATAGTAATTTCAATTTAGATAAGAGAATCGTGTCATAACAGGCCATAAAAAAACACTGATGTGTGTTACCTGCATCTCCCAAAGCTGCAGAAGATCAAGCCAATGGTCAGATTATTATTTTTTTCGTAATAAAAAGTAAAAAACATCCACACCTGGGTCTCCCCTCTCATTGCTGCAACATTTTTTCTACAATGCATTTTTTTTTTACTGTATCTGTAAATACATCACTAAAATTTGAATATTGCATAAAAGTGTAATACTTCTTGCTCATCATCTCAGAAAGGGAAATGTTGATTATTGATTTATGATTTACTACACAGAATAAAAATGTTTCAAGTTTTTTTTAATGATTATGGCTTACAGGTAAAGAAATCTGTCTCAGAAAATTTGAATATCAGACCAATGCAAAGTGAATGTTTGAAGATCTCGCAAATCCTCAAGTTGAAATGGATTTGTGTAAATGCAGATCTTCTCCAGCAGAGTGCGCCAGTGAACATGCAGTCAAGCATATGTGAGATCACTTTTCGGCTGTATTTTTGTTCGCCACTGAATCAAATCTGTAGTTTAAAAAAAAGAGTTATTGGATCTGAAACAGAAAACACAATTTATTAAAAAAATAAATAAATAAGGTGGATTAATTACGACAGAGAAAAATCAAAGCAAACCAACATTTATTTAACATATAAAATGAATAAATAAACATTACATTTGTTAAAATATGACAGACCTGAGGTGAGAACTGAATATCACCTTTATTCTCCATTATTTTCATATTACAATGCCAACACAGCACAATCAATACAAAAAACTGCGGCATGTAAAATACACCAATCCTTCACTCACAAAAATCGTCATTACAAAAACGTTTACCTTTAAAAAAAATATTTCAGATGCTGCAAAAAGACACTTCCATCCATACAGTGAAGGCAAATGTTGAGCTCCTGTTCTGCATAATGTGTTAAAAGAACACACATCTGGTGCAAGGCATTGACACAGTTACAAACAATCATTTCCTCCTTTATTCAATCAGATATCCCTGACTAAGGGTTGTTACTCTTGTTTTGTTTCTACCTCCATGTCGCTGTGGCAAAACATAATGTTTCCAGCTTTCCTTTCACTTTACATTAGACAACTTAAACAAGCCTGTTTGTGACTTTCTTGTGGTTTCCTTGATTATAGAAGAAGATCTAAAATAAGATGGGCAAAACATACCATGATAAAAGATCCATTATGTGTGTTAATGAACTTATCATGTCGACACAATGTGGTTCTTCTGATTTAAAATTAGCAACAACGATGGAGTCACTTCACATACTTAAAATTGACTTAAAAGAAGGGAAAGAAAACCCTCTAGTCTCTAAAATGTCTATGACAAACTAGAAAGTGTACCAAAAAACAAACAAACAAAAAACACCACATACCAAGGGCTTGGAGTTTTGGATGAAGGCATCATTAACTAAAATAAATATTTCTAGAATAAAAAAATCTATTACAATTTATGTCCCAGTTTTCCAAGGCCTTGATATGCATTAACTTAATTTATTGCACCACTAGATAATATTGCATAAGATGTAAGCTGTTACCAGCTCCTCATTGCCCAGCCATCATACTGCATGTGTAAAAACATTCTCATAAATCTGCGATGCACATGTTTTTAAGCTGGAACGCAAATTTGCATCACTTCAATAGTTCGATAGACCCGCATTACTTCAACTGCAAGAGGGTGTGTCTCGGGGCGTGTGCCAGGATGCATTTTTAAATGTGTAAGAGGGAAAATTGCAGACCCACTTGGGTCTGAGCATTAAAAGAAATCAAAAGGAAGAAAACTTGAGCCCCATATAAACAGTTGTGCTTGTTGCCTTCCAAAAGATGCTTCTTCAGAGAGAAAGAAAATCAATGACTGTCAGAGTCCGTCTAGCAGTCCTGATTTTCGCTGCAGGTGGAAGTTAGGCCAGCTTTGGACAGAAAGAGCTTTCCACTGTGACAGACACAGACCTCAAACAGATCCTGAGTATTTCCAGAAACGCCTCCTTTGCTCAGCGGCAGGCTTGGCATGCGCACCCTCTCTGCATCCAGCACCAGCTGCATCGTGAGGAGAACAAGTTTCCATGGGTCAGCATTAATATCTTGGTCAATCAGATAAGACACATGTACAGGTATAAATATGATGGAATTATAACTAAGAAGTTAGAATTAAAAAAATGTGGAAAAAAGTCTGGAAAATGTAATTCAAGTATTTTGAATTGCTCAGTTTGGGTTATCGCACTAATTTCTTTGAGGAAAAAGTAAATAAAATTACAACAAGGTAAATATTCCACCATAATATCATGCTTCCAAAAGCATCATTACTTCAGAAAAGTGTTCACATTTTATCCCTGTCAAAATCACAAACTATTTTAAAAGCATTTTCAATACAGACCAGCACAAAGCGGCACATCCATGAGGAGGAAAAGTTGGAATGTCTTAAAGTGAAGTATATCTTTGTATTCAGCCCATTTACTCTTATACACTTTAATAAAATCCAGTGCATTTAACTGTCCTGCAAAATATTACAAAGTGATAACTGAGATCAGCTGACTATAATGGCACACCACCGTTTTCAGATTTCTGTTTCTTTTCCTTCTACTTCCCCTATTTGTGTTGGTCTTTCACTTAAAATCCAGAATAAATATGTTAAGATTTGTTATTTTCTCATGGGAAAATATGAAAAAGTTCAAAGAGGCCCTGAAGAGGCCCTTTTGCAGCGCACTGTAAGTTACATCATGAAGTGAAAGTAGTGAAACCAGCTCTCTGTGGGCAGTGTCTAAGGTGTTTCAGACGTAAATGCTCAGTGACCTGAAAGAGCCGCGCTGCTGTCAAACCGTTCCGGAGTTCCCCCGGTGCAGCCAAGAGAGATCATGGATGTATAAAGCTGCATGTTCCCTGCCAAAAGCATGCTGTGTATACATTCCCCAGGTGACCTAAAGAAAGATGGTGAAGAGAAGTCAGCAGGAAGTGGAGAACTGGTTTCTTACCAGCCCTGAAGTCGACTGCAGGATGACGTCCATTTTGGAAGTAGCTTCTATGTTTCCAGCCAGAGCTTTGAGATGAACTCCCTTTGGTGCGTCCATTGTCACAGAGCGGGTCGGGCACTCCAGCCTGCAAGAACACAGAAGGACTTTACAAAGAGATCATTGATCACATCAACAGCACTGATTCTGACAATGAAGAGAGCGGGTAAAGCCGTGGCTCTATAAATCCTGTGTGCTGAATGTCTCCAGTAATCGACAATAAAAGGCCAAGATTTTAGTGAAGGTGGCGATATGTTATAGCTGCGGTCCTCACTTCAGATCTTTCAAAAGTTCGGACTTCAGCAGCGGCACCTCCACAGAATGCTGGAACAGAGCTCCTTCAGGACCTGAGAAAGCAAACACAGCATTCATCAAAGGAAGAGGAGGTTCCTGCAAACACATGCAGAACATTGCTGAGAGTTTGTTTAATTGGTTTTCACTAGTATCTGGTATAAAAATGAGCTAACAGTCATTATCTTCAGGGAATGATGCCAGCTGATTGTGCCATCCTCTCTGCTGCGTTTCTGAGCTTGACTTTAAAAGGGAGAAGCAGTCTGTCTGTCGGCTCACTTTGACTCTCGGTAAATTGGGCGAAGCAACACAGAGACAACAAAACTGACCCCGGGCAAAATGAAGCCATCAGCTGCCTCTCTGTTAAATCAGTCGTCACAGTTTGTGGTCAGTGGCACACACCAACATCGACACTGAAACATTCGGAGCGTAGGATGGAAATATATGAAAATAGTTACCCTGCATCTCTTTGCTATGTAAAAAAGATTCTCTGTGTGGTTTTATGATACAGATTATTGACTCCAAGCCCCAACTGCGCACATGATGGATTGTATTCTGTATGGCATTTATGCATTTATGCACACTAATTCAGTTGCATGGGAAATCATTACAAGGCATTTGACTGTATGGCTTAAAAGTCTAAAAGAAGGTCTGCCGGAGCAAAACGGTGTAATCTGATTAACAGAGAATTTAAAGCTGAATCTCTTGAAATTTTCATACAGGCTTGAGAAGCAAATAGGAATTTGGAACACACGTCATATTTGTCAGCGGGACAGTTTTCAGCTTTTAGTCTTTTACAACATGCTTGTTTAAGTATCAGAAAGGGGAAATTGTTTTCTGCTAGTTTTGCATCATTACTTACTGAAGAGTTTCAAGTAAAGACAGAAAACTCCAAACCAAAATCAAGTTCTTCACACACAGTTACTCCAGTAAGACACTGCTCTCTAACGGAGATCAAAAGTTAGTGGGGCAGATTAAGTCGATTAAAACTGAGGGAAAATTCAAATATTCTGCACTTTAAACACTCCAGTACGTGTCACAATGATATCATTTTTATCTGCTATTTTTACCCAAAGACCATGGAAACAATCACATTGTGTTTGCCCTTAGTTTGTTGGTTGCTGCTCAGCATTTTGGCTTCAGGCAAACCCAACGACATATAGGACATATATCCTCCACATATAGGACATATATCCTCCACATATGAGGATATATGTCCTCAAATGTGACATAAGTCATGTCACATTTGAGGTTTGTGTTATTTTTTTCCAAATAGTGCCAGCCAACAGGAGCGCGCTACATTCACAAGCATACATATCCACCCACATACCTGTGACTCGGAGTTTGTCCGGACCAATCAAAGTCTGCTCGCCATCTGCACTGAACAGCATGTTGTTGTTGGGCGAGTTTAAGAGCATATTGTGAGTGTGCCCCTGAGCCTCTTTGGGACCTGTAACAGTAACAGAAAACACCTAAGAGGGGTTTGGCAGTGGCACATGAACAAAATTGACCTTGTCCTTTCACGCCGAGTCTTTTTAGATTTGCATGGAAAGTTTTCTAGCTTATTAGAATTGCTGAGGTGATCAGCAGAGTGGATGAATTCAACCCGAAGAGAAAAACAGGTAACACCATTAGGTTTTTTACTGAAGGGTGCCTCATCACAGGTCAGTCTCTTTGCCCTTCACTGCAGCTGTGTTCACAGCCCTGTGAGAGTAGAATCCACTGCAGGTGGATCCCTCAGTGAGACAATTAACTCAGCGCCCGTGTCTACATTTTGGAACGACACACAATCTTCTCTAACAAGCATTTGAGTTTTACGCTCCTGGGGCTGGGAGCATGCAGGCTCTGCGGTTGACGACTTAACGATCAAGGACACATAATGGCATCGTGGAACACAGTAATTAGTTGGGTCATTTGCTGGCCTTTTAATCATGACAAAGCATCCTAACTTGGCCATCGGAGGACTATAAAAGATGTACAAATATGACCCTCCGCGGGGCCGAGCCCTCCATGGAAGACAGAATGATCCGGAAGCATTGCCAGAGACAGGAACACTGCCTGTAATGGCTTTTAAATGGAAATCTAAGAGATTATAAATTGACAGATGGCCTCTTGTCATTGCTAATGTAGGATGAGGAATCCCTGCAGGACAAGTCCATGAGTGACTTTACTGTCGCCCCCATATATCATGCGAATGCGAGGTGTGAGCGCGGGATTGTCTCCGTGTGGACATGTGTCCTCTTACCCACAGATGTCCTCCCCGTAACGTTCCCATTCTCGTTGCGGGCATTAAGGGAGACGTTTTCTGATGAATGCACAACTAGAGGAGTGTCCTGAAGGCAGAGGAAAAAATACACTTTACAGCCTCCAGAACAAACAAAATAAAATAAACACATTTATGACCAGGATGCACATACATGGTGAAAAACTTTCACTTTGCCTCCAACATTGTAACTAGTAAAAAACTACAGTATAGAGTCTTTTTTAAATCAAAAATGGGTCCCACATTGCTAGTGAGTTCCCTCTTCTGTCACCATAAGGCTAATATGTGAAGTATCACTGAAGCTGTTCCTGATGTTTTCAGCCTCTAAACAAAAACACACATTGAATGAGTTAATCTATTTCGCCAGTTAGAGAAAAAAAAATATCTCTGGAGTGTTTTTATATGTTATGGGAGTTTGTTGCCTTTAGGCTACGTTGTACCATAATGATGTGCAAAAGAAATAGAAAACTTATCGGTTTGAACACTATTTATTTCATCAACATATTCAGCAGCTTTAACAGCAAAACAAAATGAGGAACTCATTTTATTAGCTCATCTTGTCACTGTGGCTCAACCAACTGAAATGAACATATTAAGGAGACATTTTATTTAAAATTCAGTTTTAATCTTCATTGTGTAACAGATACATCTGAGTTCAGTGAAGTTAAAGTCATAGCTAAAATGTGGAGTTTATATTCATTTATTAAAGCATATTTTGAGGTTGTGTTTACTCTTAATCTCCATACATTTACTTGTATTGAGCCTCAAAGAGAAGGTAGGAATCACACCACCCACTTATCACTTGTAGACCGTACCAGAAATATCTCATATCTTTATTTCACACTCACTACCTTCATAACCATCTTGATTCCAGCTCTCATCCTCATCGGCTTTTTGTTTGCTGGGAAGGCTTGAACTTTAACTGGAAGTTTGATTTTTGCTCTTTCCTTCCTTGAAGCTCTGCTGAATGAGGATGAATTCATTCAATAGATTGGGGAAAATGTGTGGAAATTGGGTGACATCATTTAGAATGAACTTCGCTGCAACTATCAATACACTTCTTAATGGCAAAGTGTAAATGTCAGAGCAAGACATGAGTGAATAGTAAGCATTTGAACATTGGACATAGATCAGAAAACACACACTTACGCATCGGTGGGAAAACAATTGTTTTGGTGTTTTTCTACAATTATTTATCGTTTCTTTTTGTACAGCTGACTCCTTTACACTGACTGCTTTTTCAGTTTCCTCACAGAAAGAGTTCATTAACATGTCAGACATTTAATAAATTGGGTAACTTTAGACAAACTGTGAAACAGTTTGCTTTTAAACAAACTGCTTTTTACTATTTTGCAGCGATCCAAGGCGACAGAAGCAGCCTGTAATTTGTATCAACAGACAGAAAACATGAGCCTTTTATGAACAGAAAGCCACCCTGCATTAAATCACTTCTGTTTCTGTGCTGCGAGGAAGACGCTTTTATAAAAATGATCCAAGTAACAAACTCCTCATACAGAAGACGAAGGACGGCGACGTGAGTCACTGAGCCTCATTAGATAGCCATATAATACATTAGAGAATGTGCCCATCCATAAATGAGGGATGCATTGCCTCTTTAATGAGAGTTGTGAGGAAGAAAAAAAAAACAATTTAAAAAAATTATTGTTATGAGCAAGAAAAGCCATAACATGCAAACAACTGCAGCAAAGTGTTCCCATCTGCTGCGAGGAGGCAGGCCATAAACTACTCCCCACCACAAATATCCCTGAGGTTAATGGGGAGCTGAGCGCTTCGCCATGTGCACTGCGTGGGTCTGCCAAATCCAGTTTGTTCTGACACGTCCCTCCCTAACCCACCCTCTCCCCCCAAAAAAACAAAACAAAAAAAAAAACACAGAACTGCACTGAGAAATATGCAGCACCCTGGCTAAGGCTAGGCAATATCTGCACAAGATTCAGATGATAGCAGCACATTTCCAACTCTCACTCCAGCTTAACGTTTAGTAAACAGGATGAAATAATGGGCAGGCTGTCGGGCTGCTAGGCTGAGCAAACAAGAGTTTGACGATTAATTGGAAAGCAGAAGGTAGAAGGGATGAGGGAGGAAGAGGAGAGAGACCAGACAACGAGGAGGAATGTGGGAGATAAAGTGAGTGTTTATGTTGATCTTACTTCTCTGGAGTGAATCTCCTGAGCATAGACCGGGAAAAGAAACTCAGACTCGCCTTCGTCCAGCTTTACGCCGTCAGGGTGTACTTGTAGGAGTCCCACCCCTTCCTAAAATAAATGACTTAATGTTAATAAATAAAATAACACAAAACAGGCTTCAGCTGAGTTTAAATATCCACATTCACTGCTTTGATTGTTGCAATATTTCTTCTTAGACTTTGTGTCTGGGCTCATGGGCAGGCTCTTAAATAAATAGCATGTCTATAAATATATGAGTATGTGTGTGAGGCTGCTTGGTGCATCTCTGTTTCTTCATAAATCTGCAGTTGCCATCTGGACTTTGAGATAGAAAGCTGAAAAGACTCCCTGAAATAGCAGTTGCACTGTCCTCTTTAAACAAGCTAATGGTGAAAACGCCTTTGCTGCAATGTGCGTCTAATGTCAGCGGACTAGGTGAAGAAAACAACAGAGAATTTAAAGTGTATTCTAGAGGAGCAGTGAAATGGAAAGGAAGATGTGAGCGGCGCGCACCGCGTTGAACCACATCACCCGGACGATCCAAATGGTGAGAGCAAAGTTGACCACCAGGATGACGATGAGGAGCAATACAAACAGGTAGAGGCAGCGTTTCCTCCAGCCGTAGATGCCGATCTTGTAGATGTGGTCGGCCGCCGGCCGGGGCGCGCTGACGCCCTGGGTGGTGCTGACATACTGCTCCCGAACCATCTGTTGGATGAGGGCAACACGTGTTGACAGGTACACAGGCAAGAGAAGCAGATGCTTTAAGTCAGATTGAACGTGGCACGCCGTGAAATCAGTCAGGGATTGAAGACGTTTTGGTGGAGAGAAACCCAGCCAAACCTCAGCAAAACACAAAACTCTTAAAAAATAATCAGTGAATTCAGTGGCTTGCAAAAATATTCCCAACTGTTTGCCATGTTACAGACACAAACTATAACTGGTCTCTCTTGATTTGCCAACAAATAATCTAACGTGTTTACAATTTTTTTTTTAGGAATATTGGCATGAAGTTTTAACCAAACATTGAATTAAAAGTAAACAGAAGCCAGCTGAGTATAACTGAATAAATGCCAAATAAATCCATCTGTGAAGTGAAAACCTCTGTTGTTCGAGAACATTAAAAGCGAACAGCAACATGGAGTCTTACGAACTCACCAAACCGTCAGAAAGGAAGTTGTTTAGAGGAGGGTTAGGTTATCAAATAATAGAATAGCTTTCACAGAGTTCAACCCAGGGAAAAGAGTGTAGCACCAGAAACATACGAAGACATGGCTGCCCATCTACACTGACAAGCTTGGGCAAGAAGAACAAAAACCAGGGAAGCAGCCAGAGGCCCTTGGTAAGAAAACCAAGAAGACAAATAATCATATAGGGGAAACTTCTAAACAGACAGAAACGTGAAACATTTAACAAAGTAAATGACAATTTGCTGTATAAGAGACACTGTTGTGTTTTGTTTTGAAATATGCATATAATTTCAATAACACTTACAAGAAATGACTAAATAATGTACAAGGACATGAGCTCTTTTGAAGAAAACATTGGGACCAATGTCCAGACGCTTTGCACAGCATAAATCAATAAAAACACACACAGGCTTTTTTTTCCTAAATGCTGTCGACAATTTGTAGAAATACAGACCTTTTTAAGATATCTGACCTTTTGGAGAAATTTTACTCTGGCATAAGTTTTGCAGAAGTCCTTTACCATGACGAATTACATGATTAATTCAGGAGCAGACATTCCTTTGTAAAGAATTGTGTACAATGAATGCATTCTTTGGTTTTTCTGCTCAGAAAGTTACAAGGTGCACTTCAGACCTTGGATAACAATGTTGCTTTCAGTCCAAAGAACATTTTACCGAGTCAAACTCTTCTTTCTTCATTCCTATCCAATGCAACTTGGCTAATGCTGTACAGACATCTACTCTCGTGGGTCTATTAATGCCTGATTACGTAATGACTGCAGGGAGAGCCTGTGGCTGAGTTTGGACGCAAAGAGTAATGGATTCACAGAGAGGAATACAGAAGTTTGGATTTGTATTTAGAATTCACCTTTGTTCTGCTTTCTTTTAGTTTTTCCGATTTCTCTCCTTTGGAGCTCCTTATTTGTTTTGCCCTCACAAAACTGTGGCAGAGATGAAACAAAGCATGCCGAACAAAACGGCTTTGTGTAGCGCTTAAGATTTGCTTGGAGCATGGGAACCGGACCAGACCGGGCGCCTGACCCACCTGGCCAGTTTGACGTCACATCTGGTCCACGCAGTGGAAACACGCAAACATCTGCAGAGACGAGACACAACAGTCTTATTTGGTGACATGCCGTGACATCAGTCAGGGATGAGAGACTGAAGACGTTTTGGTGGAGATCATTGTGATCAAAGTGAGGAGCTCTCTATCGGTTTTATTTTGCTGACTGACCCGAAGTGGTTCACTTCAAGTACGCTCTTTTCTTTTCTCTCTCCAAACTTAAAGTTTTTATGTCGGATGTTTAGGACAAAATTTTGTGCAGAATCTTGCATTGAAACTTCAGGTAGAGAAGAGAAAGTTGCACTAATAGTCTAAAAGTTCATTCTCAGCTTCCACTGGAATTTCTCTTTAGCTTGAAGTTTTTCATTTTTTTGTTTCTTTGCATAATTAATCATAAGTAGATTGTGTGATTATTTATAGGTTAATTATAAATAATTGACAAGCAATTATTTATAAAAAAAAATATTTATAAAATAAAATACACAATTTCAAGATGAAGTGTCAATACATATAAAATATGTAATTTTAATATGAAAATCTCAAATTTCCTTAATCTCAAATTAAGAAAAAAAGATCACCCTTAATATTGATTGTCAACGCATGAGAAGGTTTTAACAATCTTTCTCTTTCGCTACAGTATTAAAGCAAGAAGCAGCTTGTAGAGATTTTTGCAGCATTGTTCATCTTGCAATCATTGTGATTAATAGCACTGATAAGTAATCCCTGCAGAATGCTGCAATCATCCTCTTTGTTATGACAGTGAATGCATCAGATATTTGGTTGAAATTGCTGATACGGAAGAGTGTTTGAAATAAATGTACTGCCCTCTTTATCACTAAAACTGGAGCTTACACACTAAACAAAAACCAGCAGCATTAGGGAGATTGCTGAACGTTGGACTCGGTTAAGAAACATGCGTCATCTTCCCTGTGGTTGTGGTCTCGAGTTACTGAATACAGTAATTTTGGTGAATTTTCATCTTTGACACCGAATTTCCATCACTGCAGGATTTAAGCACACGATGTTTATATGCAATATACTTTCCAGCCTTTCAGCTTGGCTTTGTAAATGCACCCCGCCTAATGACACATCCACATAATGCTTCACTCACACACTGTGCAGTCTGTGATTCATGAGCTCGGGCACTGTGGCTTTATGAGAGCGGTGCCAACACAGAACTTTACACAATTTCCAGCACCTTTTGAAAAGGGGAAACGGAAAATGCAACTTACTACAGAACAGAAGCACTTTCTGCTTACAGTATCAGCTTGATAAGTGTTGATGCAGCGAGAACCTCCAAAATGATTTTATTTGATAGAACAACACAAAGTGGAGCAAGGCTACTTAGTGGAATGATAATTATACATGGTTTTAAAATGGCGAAACATCATGACCAAACAACATCAGGAAGGTTAAGGAGAAAATTGTGGAGAAGTTTCAATCAGTTTTTAAACAATAGTCAATGAAATTGGAAAATACTTTATTAAACCCAAAGGAAAATTAAATGTTGCAACACAAATTATTCAAGATTCTTCCAAGAGATGGGAACGTCTGTGGGCCTCTATTGGTCTGTATTACAGCAAATTTGAAGACTGAATAAAGTGATTCTAAAGCTCTGGACGTCCCAATGCACTGCTCAGTCTTTTATCCAGAAAAGCAAAGAATATGGCTCAGCATTAAACCCACACAAGACATGAGGTGAGCATGAAAGAAGCAGCCAAGAGGTGCTCGGCCTTTTGGAACTAAAACCCAATTTTTTGGTGTATATGCAAAACATGTGCGTCAGAAAACTAAATGTACATTATCTTCCAAATGTCGCCCTAAGTGTGAAACATAGTAGTGACAGCATCATGCTGGGGGGATGATTTTATTCAAAGGGAACCTGGTCAGATTGGATAGGAAAATGGATAAAGCGAGGCAGAACATCAACTGTATGCAAACACCCGCAGCTACAATGAAATGGTTTAGATCACATCCTGCCGTAGAATGGCCTAGTCAAAGAGCAGATCTAAATTCAGCTGAGAATATATGGCAATATTTGAAATTTGATGCTCACTACTGCTCTGCACCTTGACAGAGCTTCTGTGATTTTGCCAAGACTCTCCTATAGTTGTAAAGGAAACCATGTACCAAACTGTACCGACAGGCTAAAATAAGTTTCTGCAAATTAAAGTGAGAAAATAAAGTGAGAAAAAGTTTGTGAGAATGAATCTGGTACAGGAAGATGCTGTGTCTTGAATCACAGCGAGGTTTAAGTTCCAACCCAGGATTCGTTTTCTGTGAGGTCAGATCAGGCTCGGACTTCTGACCCCTCTGAGGGAGACCCCAGTCGGTGCATTTGTACCACCTGACAAGGAACCTTGAGGGAAGATTTCACTGAGACAAGGCAAGTGTGTGTCCAAGAAGCTGAAAGCCTGACAGGCTGCAGTGAAAGAGGAGTTCTGTCAGTTTCTATTGATAGATCTGTAATAATAACCAAAAAATAGCTGCAGAGAACACTGCTGTCATTGAGGAGAAAAGCTGGGGGGAAACACTGTCAGCTCTGGGTTATTACAAGTCAACAAAAACCCACCCAGAACAGGTAGAAAATAAAGGCAAAACTGCTTTAGATCTTCAGCTAACAAAGACGTCTCGTCTTAGTGCTGTATTCTCAACACTTCACTGATTTACGCCCAGCACAGATGTCTGATCTTACGTTCACAGCTAGGTTGCTTTCCTTCATGTTAAAACCAACACTCCTCAAACCAAAAAGCAATTCTTCCCCGACAGAAACAGATGCTCAGCCGAGCGCGTCGTCTTCCTGTGGGTCCCATGGGCCGTCGATGATACGGCCGGAAGCCGAATTAACATGCAGTGGCAAACTGTACCGACAGGCTAAAATAAGTTTCTGCAAATAATGAAGGTAAACATCTTTTTCCAGCTGCACAGCGAGGGCTGACAGATTAAAGCAGAGGAGCTGGCTCCCGGCTCTCAGAGGGCCGGCTTGTTTCTCTCTGCCTGCAGTAAACACTCAGAGAGTCTGTGTTAAAGGCATAAAAGGCTGAAAGTGTTTCTATGACCAAATCTGCATCTCCACAGGACCTGTCACATGCCCTGCAAGCTTAGCAGTGATGAATAGCTCCTCTTTCATGAACAAATAAATGAATGTTGCCTCCAAATAGGAGGAAAAAAATAACTGATATCTTCACATAGGGGTGAGGGAGAGACGAGCAGTGCTCTCGATAAGGAATAAGTTATGTGGCATGTATCTCACCTCGTTTATATTTTTTAATCATATCTGTGTGAATGCCTCGGGTTTTAGAGGCTGAATCTGCAGGGAAAACAGCCATTTTGCCCGTCATCTGCTGATATCGAGAGCACGGATCGATTTACGTTTAAATGTTTGCCATTTCCAGGGATCTCCACTGAGGCCTGAAAGAGAAGAACACTTTCCCAATTAAACCCGTTCCAATATCCCAGCGCTAGATCTATTATCACCAGCAGCTTTTGATGTGCTCACACCTTGATCAGATCAGGAACTTTAAGCGGATGAGCTCTTGGTTTTTTCATTATGATGGCTAATGAATTTTGCGGGAATCCAGTGTAATTACTTGAAATGAACACATTAAGAGGCCTCTGTGCGTTCAGCTGCTGGAAAATAAAGGAGGAGGAGGCGTCTTAAAGGTTGGGTCCGTTTGATGCGTCCTTCAGCTCCACTTTCAGTCCTGCCACCAGGCTTTAAACCGCAGGCTGATCCCTCCATAGCAACCCAAATAAACACTCCCTGAAGAGCCTCGCTGCCAGACTGCCAGGAATGCTTAGTGTGCGCAGAGTTTAGCACAAAATCTGACCATTTCTAAGTTAATCTGCTAGTTTTAAACTCAAATATGAAACAGTGCAAATAGATGACAGTTTCTGATAGGGAAAAAAAATTCCTATGCCCTTTTTTATGTAAAATGTCTATGTGTACTTGTAAACCTTTAGTTTAAATTTTCTGTTAAACGATTGAGATCCAGTGCTCTCATGCATTATCTGGATAAATGTGTCTCCCTGATGATTTCTGGCCTCTGGATGAGACTGAGGATCCCATCGCTTCGAATCCTCAGGTCCAGGCTGTGATCCAGGTTTCCACATGAGCTAAAACTTGAACAAATCATGCGCTAGAGGTTTTGGCTGGATAGCAACTATTAAGTATGTAGAGGAAGAAAAACACTTAAAGGATCTGTGAGCCCGGGGCTGCAGTTCACTCTGTGTGTATAGAGGATAGCCGGTGTCAAGTCTCAATGCTCTCCTATGATGCCTTCATTTCTAAAAATAGGACGCAAGTGTTGTGAACTACATTTTTATTTTTTTAAAAAGCAACATGGTCTCCAGACTCAGAGGCAATACCTGATATTAACTAAGCAGTGTAAAACTACAGTCTAGTAGTCTTCCACTGAGTTATTTTTGTGTTTCACTTCTGTTGGCCATGTATGGAAAAACTGCTCACAGCCGGCTCACTAAAAACATACTTTCCAAATCCCAGGAAACCTCTGAGCAGAAAGTTATCACAGCGCAACACATAAAACGCTAAGGTGGACGAAACCTTTCAACCACACTTATTAGGTTAAAGGTCAGCACTGTAAAGCCCTTCAAAGTTCATTTGAAGAGGAGACACACACGACAAATGAAGAGGAATACAAACAGTCCAAGCTACTCACGGTTGCGTGTTGAGGCACAGCAGTCCTTTTTCCAAAGCAGTAGATCCTGAGCTGCTCCCAGCAGCGTGAGAGGCAGCAGCGCTCGAGCTCCTCGCTCGTCTGTCAGGCGCTCAACAGCTGCGTGCCATAAATCCAGAGCTGGGAGACGCATCCAGGCTGATCGCCGCGAGACGGCGCTCCCACTCTGACTCTGTCCTCCAGACATTTCAACATCACCGTCAGTGGGGCTCTGAGTGAGAGAGGGAGAGACAAAAATGGAAAGAGGAGGAGAGGGCAGAGTTTCCATCACTCACACACACGCACACGCACACACACACACACACACACACACACACACACACACACACACACACACACACACACACACACACACACACACAGAGACATCCACAATGAACAAAGGCAGCTGTTTTTTATGCTCTGTGTCACTTTCACTGCCCAGCCCAGAGTCTGATCAAGTACCTTCTAATCTGAGACTTCAGTCGTGGTTCCCGACATGAAGCTGAGCTTCCTGATGGCTCAGCCAGTGGGAGTGATCAGGAGTGTGGGACACTGAAGTCGTACGAGAAATTTGGTCACTGGAATCACAATTCTTACAGAGCTACTGGACTTCTATGCGAAGATCCATCAGTAACTTCAAAAGCAGCCTTTTATTCATAAATCAACCCAAAAATAATCTCCATTCATTCCAGTTCTATCATGTGACGTGATAAAAACATATTGTTTGTATTTCATGGAACATCTGCAGATGTTTTGTTTTTGAAACGTTTAGCTTGACTGATGCTTCATTTAGGTCCAATTTGCCAGTCGGAGCAAATTAGACACGACATCAACTAAACTAGCTGAAATGAAAAAAAGGTCCAACTGGACAGCAGTCAGTCTGTATGCCTATGGCCACTGAGTGAAAAAGAACATTTTGATCTAATAAGAGATGTGAACAGTTCATGATAAAGTGAGAATTGAATTGAGCTTCCTTGTTCTGCTATCCTCTAACCACGAGTGCAGAGCCATTGCAAATGTAGAAATTCATTTTAAAATGTGAATTTTGTGCTGGACAGTCTGAATGAAAAGACAAATGTAGCTCTGTATTCGTCTTCTTTACAGGCTGATGGATGTTGCATGCATGTCGAAGGCGTAAAGCCCGCGGTTTGTTTGGTTGTCGGTGCTCGGGGAAACGCTGCGCGGTGACAGAGGGAGGCTGAGCAACATCCATCACCAAAGTGCTGCACATCAATTGCCCTGAGCAAACATTGGAGTTTCTTTTTATGTCGTTATCAACAAACCTCCAAAGCCAGATTCTTTTTATGGCCAGAGCATTTATGGAATCATAAATGAGTTCAGGGAATAGTTTAAATTCACATGTTGATTACACAACTGAATTTATATTAGGAACCAATGTTTACGCATCATAGGCAATTAATCCCTTGAGTAAACAGGACATTATGTTGAAAGATTTAAATACTGAATAAGATACTTTTTTTTTGTGATTATGATCATAATTTTAATGGTAACTTTTTTTGCAACTTTATTTTTCCTACTTGTTTCATTTTGATATAATTTTTCGCTATGTTTTATCAATGCGGTCAGACCAAAGGAGCATCTCCTTCAGTTTCAGCCCAATACCTTCTGCATAGCTTAAAGCATGTTCACTCATTCATACATACAAGTATTAAGACCCGTCAGATGCCAACTAAAAAACAAGAATAGATGAACAAAAAATGTGAGAAAATGCTTTGATGAATCAAAGACTCATCAGGTGACTCTGGCAACTGTGACACCCAGGAAATCAAATTAAGTTTAAGAAACACAAACTTGTTTTGTCTTTACAATTTTATTACACTTTTCATGACAAACAGCTTGCAGGAAACACACACAGGAGAACCTGCAAAAGGAAAGAAGAAGGCAGGTTAGAATAAACACCCAAATTCCCCACATAGTGAGATGTGTGGAGAAGTCCAGTCTCCTGCTGTACCTGGTTATGCTTTCTCTGCTGCTGCCTCCTCATCTCCACCCTTGGTGTTACGTGTGTAAATCAGCTGAGCTCTGTGTTTGGACACCAGTTTGATCATGCCTGCGAGACAAAACAGGAATAACTTCAGATCATCCTTTTTATATCCCTGTTAGAATCCCTGTCAGAGTAACACAGCAGGAACAGCTGACACATTCAAATAAAATACACAAGCTGCTGCTCCATCAGTCAGCCTGACCCTGACGTTTGAATGTGTCAGATTTAAATGACTCATAAAGTTGTTCATAGCAAGTGTCCGCAGGTCAGTGTAACCACTATTTCTCTGGCTGTAAAAAGCTAAACATGCTTGTCATTAAAAGACAAATAGACAGATGTAGAGTCAATGACGCAAGCTGATATACCGGTTAAAGCTGTAGCTTTTGCTAGAGAAGTAAAAATTAATAACAAAAAACAAGACATGAGAACCATTAAATGTTCTAAAGTTACCTTTTCTGTATAAAACCTTCTTCCATCAAGCATTTTAGATTTTAAAACGGGTCAAAATGACTCGGAGGGAATAAATATGATTTGAAACAGGAAGAATGAAATATGAACGACATGACAGCTGATGAGCAACACTGATGACGCTCACTTATTGTCTCACTTGTCAACTTGAATGAATTTTTATTGTCTCTGTTTCATTTTGTGCCATCTTTGTCTCTGTGCTTCTCATTAAGAACATAAATCCTGAGCGAGTGTTCCCTGAGTGGGAAAGGCTCTCCAACTCACCAACATTCACAATGAGGTTTTTGCATGTTGCATTTTAGACCTTTCAAGTTCTTAATACTGAAGTGCAAAACCAACGAGAAATACAAAAAGTTAACATAATCACTCCAAAAATCATATTAAACTTACGTGTGCAATACAAATGTAATCATCACTTTAACTTGGTATTTTGACTGTGATGTGACTGCAGTACTTTAAGCTGACCAATGTCATTGGTTTGTAAAATCACATCAGACTTCAGCAACACTTCTCAAAGTTGCTTTACAATGAAAAGAAATAATGCAGTGGAAGAACAAGCCTACACATTTCAGACAAAATTTTATATTTCGTTGAAACTTTGCATAGACTTAAGATACTTTAAACACCTATATTTGACTTGATTAAGTCCAACACTTTAGGGCTTTTAAAGACACTTTTGTAATAGCAAGTCTGCAGAAGGTTGCTACAAACTGACTAATTTCAGTATCCATGTCCTTCTCTGTTATGTTTCCCACATAAAATAGGACTAATTAACAAATAGTCAAGCACATTTAAACTCTGTACATCCACTTTAGATGACATCCTGCTCATCCCAAATGGACCTGCATAGCAGCCAGAGCTGGATGGTGGGGTGTACCTTTGGCGAGCAGCTCCTGGAGGGCATTCCTGGCCAGAGAGCCACGGATCTTCAGCCTTTCCGACACGACGGCGGGGGTGATGAGCTTGTAGTTGGGAACTTCTTTGTACAACTTGTCGTAGGTTGCCTTGTCGAAGAGGACCAAGTTGTTGAGCTTGTCCCTCACTTTTCCCTTGGACCACTTCTGCTCAGTAGCAAAGGGATCGTGTTACATTCAAACATTTAGTTATTTCTTTGAGGTTTAGATAAAGGCTGATCACCACTCACCTTCTTCTTGGCTTTGCCTCCAGACTTGTTGACTGGATCCTTGTCCTTCTTGGACTTCCCAGCGTCCTTCTTCTTGTCCTGCTTAGGAGGCTGGAAGCAAAAAGCATCAAATTAAAATGCTTCACACAGACCTCATGTTTACCCTACACATACATGTGCAGAGCCCTTAGACTTAATGTTCATTATGATTATAGGATTTAAAACAAAAACTGAATTACAAAGCAACATCTTTGTTGATTCACACAATTAACATGTAGCTGTCAATAACCAAATAACTAACATTTAGTATTTGTTTTCATACTGGTCCAGTATGAAAAGATTGTCATTGATTATTTTTGTATCTATTTGTCCTAAATCTGACAATCTTTAAGTAATAAAGCTCAGTCAATGTTTAGGTAATAAGAACACAAAGCAGATCTCAAATTCTGCTAATTCTGTACAAAAACAGAGAAGCCAACCCAACAGAAATCTGAAGTTAAAAAAAAAAAAATAATAAAATAAATACCAGCCACCATCACAAAAAAACAACACAGAAGAAATGGGATCTGGATAAGATTTTAAATGGATTTAGTCACAATATTAAGCCTTGTAACATGATGAAATATTGCATAAACTTTGAAAACACTTAAGTTCACGTTTTCAGGTTTAGTTTGAGAAAGAAAACCATTTATTTGTACACATATTTAACAAGTGTGAAGACTAATGAATAATCTTACAATGTAAATATTAATCTTTGCAAAATGCCTAGGTGCTTAATTTTGTTTTGTAAATGGATTTTAAAAAGTAAAAGTAATCTGCGGAGTCAGCTAATTGTAAAAACATTTTCCGCTGGCCAAAAGTTTAAATTTCAAGTCAGTAGGAAGACACTTGTACACGGAAAGAAAAAAAAGGGGCATCTTATCCTAGAAATCTGTCAAATTATCTTCATCAAAAATTGTGAAGAATATTTTTGACTGTTGATCATCTAAATTGAAATACATGGGTCACACAATCTGAAGTCACGGCCTTGTCTTCCAATGATTAGCCAAACACAAACGCTGTCTTTTTGTACCCTTATGTCTCATGACAAAGATTTAGCTAGAGCTCGTAAAAATGTATTAGTTTTATTATTCCAATAAGAGCTATGATTGGCCTAAGTATCTTTCAGCTAGCTTTCTGTCGGCTCCGCGCAGATGAAAGCGTGGTGGGTCTAGCAAACCAGCTAGCATCCTTCGCAGGACGTAAACTCAGTGATAAACAATCTCCTACGACTTTTATCGAAGCAAATGACACGCATTGATCCAAGGGGTCATTCCGAAAAACTGGGGACTCAAACGCATACACTAAAGTCACTTAAATGTTTTATTTTCCCAAATAAAACGTGTTATCCGTAGCCTCACCATGTTTCCTCGTCAAGATGTCGGTGCGAAAGGAAGTCCACCCGTGCAACTGTCCCTAGACAACCCGTATGCACGGAAGTGATCAAAGGAATTATGGGAGCCTGAGTTTCCTCAAGTTTTGTAGTCTTTCTAAAAATGTAATTTTCCTGCCAGCCACTACAGTGGAGATAGTATATTAATTTTAATATGAATGCGGACTTTTTTAAAACCTCAAATCAAGTGCAAACAAGTAGAAACAGATTACCGTAAAATAAATAACATTTTGTTGTGAAAAGGTACGTGTTAACGTCACGTGACAAGTGGGAGGAAGTCAAACCTGGCAAAGATGGTGATTTTCAGTGTTTATGTCGTGAATAAAGCTGGGGGGTTAATTTACCAGTATGACAACTACGTACCAAGAACTGAAGTGGAAAAGACCTTCAGCTACCCTTTAGACTTGGTGCTGAAACATCATGATGAAAAAGTCATCGTATCGTTTGGCCAGCGGGACGGAATTAAAGGTAATGTTAGCCTGAACCCAATGCGAAGGGTTAGAATAATTTTTGCCTCAAGTGAATCTGTTGTCTTTCAGTTGGACACGCATTGCTGTCCATCAATGGAGTGGACGTGCTGGGAAAAAATACAGCCGACGGAAAAGACATCCTGGAATATTTAAAGGACGCAGGAAACTATCCGGTTTCGATCCGGTTTGGACGGGCTCGCCTTAGCTCCAATGAGAAGCTGATGCTGGCGTCCATGTTTCACTCGTAAGTCACTCTGGGACTGAAACGTTGCTTGGTGCTGCCGTGCAGATGACGGTGTTATTTATTAAGGAAACGAGGTGTGTTCAACACCTCCACCTGCAGGGAGGTGCAGCTCGCAAGTTATAACAATCCTGATAACATCAAATATTCCTACATTGTCTTTTGCTTTATGATTTTGCAACCACAAACATTGATTTATTTTATTAGGAATTTATGTGAAAGACCGACAGAGATCTGCAGCCCCTGGGGGCCATTATCCTGCAAACTTTTAGATGCATGCTTGCACCGACATACATAAATCAAATGACTAATTTGCATCTCATCATTCCTTCTGGGACCTGCTAATTAGTTATTCGTTTGATTCAGGTCACCCCGAATGCAACAGTCCCATGATGCAACATTGTGGCAGCATCATACTTTCTATAAGTCATCACCAAACTTTCTAGTGCCATTAATAGTTTTTTTTTTCCATTTTAAAAGTTAATTATAATTGCCTCTGATGTTGACACTTGACATTTCTCCCTAGGTTATTTGCCATCGGTTCACAGCTGTCTCCTGAAGTGGGAAGTTCAGGCATTGAGATGCTGGAAACGGATGTGTTCAAACTCCACTGCTTTCAGACTCTTACAGGTTGGTACCTCTTAAAGCAGTCAACTACCATGTTAACATTATATAAACATTATAATGCACCACTGTAGAAATGTATAAATATGAAGTTGTTTAATAAAGCAAATAAGATTAACCTAATATTAATTAAGTACAAGGACTGGACAATAATTAGGCATAAACTTGCTGATATCCAAGAAAAATCTTGACACAAAAGTTAGACTATATACAACACCCTCCTCATCTGTAGACACCTTTGGTAACAATGCGTAGATTCATCTCAGTAACATGATCTGATCTGAAAACTGTAGGAAAAGCACTTTTCCACCAGTGAAATGGTTCCATTATTCTCATCAGTTTTATAATTTATACTTTAAAGTAGGGCTGTCAAACTAATTCTCCTTTCAGGCTGCATCAAGATCATGAATATTGTCAAATGTTGACTGATGGCAGAATGTTTAGGTAAAACTACCCATTAACAAACTGTTAAAATATTATACATTTTGCTGTGTTCAGTGAGTAATTAAAAAAAATAAGATTAGACATTCAAGTTATTTAGCAATATATACGTAAAAACTGATTTGACTGATCCAATAATATTTTTGTGCACAGCTGCCCAGAATTGGCCTGGCGCGCGCGAGTTTGACGCATGTGCTTTAAAATGTTAAGCTGATCAAAATGTTTAGGAGCTTTAAGTCTTTACGGACTTGTTGTTGCGGCACAGAGATTTGTTTCTCTTGGTCACTCTTCCATTGCAGAGTCAAGTTCAGGGAGGAAAAGTGCTACTAAACCTGCCCATCTCAAAGGCAGAATAATTAAAACATTTATTACAAATTTTTAAAAAAGAAGTAATGACCAACAAGGCTGCAGTAAGACCTCTGTGTTATACCCATCAAAGCTCATTGTCTCTGCTTGTAAACTGGTTGTTTCTCTTCGCTGTTCCATCTTTTCTCCTCCAGGGATAAAGTTTATTGTGCTGGCAGACCCTCGACAGTCTGGTATTGACGCCTTGTTGAAGAAGATTTACGAGATCTACTCAGATTTTGCTCTGAAGAACCCGTTCTACTCTCTGGAAATGCCCATCAGGTATGTGGACAGTAACAGAACTGTGTTGTTGCCTTCAGCTCACTACTTTCATATTTTATATTTATAATGACAGTGTTTCACACTGTTAGCATCAAGTGATTTATTACGTTTTGGTTTGTTTTCATGCGTTTGGATCCAGGTGCGAACTGTTTGATCAGAATCTGAAGAGTGCGCTGGAGGTTGCAGAGAAAGCTGGAAACTTTGGAGCCGGGTCATAAACATCAGTTAACTCCTCATCACAGCATGTGTGTGCAAATTAAATTTCTGACTGGAATAAGAGCTTTTTTTTGTTAAATTGTCTTGAACGCTTGTCTGCTTTTTCAAATTAAAGCTGTATATACATAATGTTTTGTAAATACTTGACACAATAAAACCTAAACTGTAAATATTCAGTTGCTTCTGTCTGCATGTGTGTTTTAATATAAATTATTTTAGATTTAACCTTTAAGACATTGAGACTCTGGTGTGAAAATGAATAATTATTTTTCTTTAGAATGTTGCACTTTCCATTCATGATTGGTCTGTGCAAGTTTTATATGTACAGTTTGGATCCTGTTGGGGAGTACTAGTATAGTCTGAATAGAAAAATCCACCTGTCCATTTGGCACATTTTATTATATGAAAAACATTTAGATTTGTTAACTTAGTGTTGCATACCAAGAAACAACTAGCACAAGTGTCGTACACTTTAATGTCCTGTAGGATTGATAGCGGGGGTATTGGAGAGGTTGAGGTCTGACTTTAGTCTGCCTTCTTGGGCAAACGTCCCATCTTGGTTTGGATGTTCTGTAGCAGGAAGTATCCGACAGTGGTCACCAAGCAGGTCATCTCTGCTACCCAGAAAGCTATTTCCCAGCTGTGGTACTTGGCAATAGTGCCGAAGGGTAGTCCAGCCAGGAAGCCACCAACTAAAGGGGAAAAGAAAAGGATGAAAATGAAACCTGTCATATTAAGACACTGTTTATCTAATGGCGAAATGTTCTGTTATACCAGAAACAGAAGAAAAAAAAAAACAATCAATCTTCAAAGTACTGTAAAGAAATTTGAGCTAATAAACCACTAATAAACCTACTTGTTTGCTGAATAGAAAAAGATACATGGTTAAAAATGCTTAGCAAAAGAAAAAGAAATATCTGCAATGTGTGTTGTGCATTTGTATTCAGCTGTCTGAAGTCCATATTTGGCAACACCACCTTTTGATATGATTACAGCGGGAAATCTATGGGAGCATACCTAACCACTTTGCATGTGTGAGAAACAGGAATTTTTGAGAAATTTTCCCAGAAAATTTGGTCGAGCTTAGTCAGGCATTTCCACAGTAATGAAATTATATCCGACTATGTTAAATTTGTGTTTCTTCTACTGACATTTTATGTAACAAAAACTATAAACTCCATAATGCAGGGGAGTTATAAGCTCTAACTAAAGGAATAAACTTCAACTATCTCAGCAAACCTGTAAAAGAATCTAGTGCCTGTAAATGGGTTACGGTGTTTTTCTGGTTTCCACACCAGAAAAACACCCATTTTAATGAGTGTTTTTCTCACTAATATTTGCTTTTCATAAATATCTTTTTTGCTCTGTTTTCAGTAAAACAGAGCAAAAAACAGTATAGATAGATAGCAGAACATTGTACACTTACTATTCGCCATCAGTCCGACTATGGCATGAGATGTCCCACAGTAATTGGGAGGAGCCGTTTCATTGGCTAATATTCCGAACAATGCTATTGGTCCATATGAAGAGAAGCCAAAAGCAGAGCCCAAGATCAGTATCCAAACCTGAAGGTACAAAGAGATGAAATCATATTGGTATCAGATTGTCCAGCCTCCATTGTGGATTATTACAATCATTAAAGGCTTACAGTCATTAAGTTCTACCTATTAGGATCTTTGTTACCTTTGAGCTGTCAGCAGTGACTGTGACCCTGAATAGATACATGGACACAGACATTCCAGCCATCATACAGATCAGGATGAAGTGACGAGGATTGCCATAGATTCTTAGCCCTTGCTACATAAAACAGAGCCAAAATGCAAAATATTAAGGAATATGCAAAACATAATAATTTTAATTCTTTTGTATTTTAGCCCACAATATTATTCATTCATAATTTTTAGCTATGGATTCATCATGCATCATTCATCAATATGACTGTTAAAGAGTGATGCCATCTTATTTAAATGTGTGCTATTTAGTAAACAATAACAGCTGATTTAATTTGAGACTCGTTGTGGCCTGGTGCGTGTGTCCATATTTCCTCTTCTAAAGGTTTAAATAAACTGGGCAGCTGGTAAAAGCAACTATTTTGTCATGTTTTCCACAGAAGAGGATGCAGTTCAGTCAGCCTTACTTTGGCGACAGCCTTGTCAGAGATGTAACCTGCTGCCAGACTGCCCAACAAGCCTCCAACCTCCAGGGCACTCATGTATGAACTACCTGTGAAGAAGAAAACCGATTGACCAGTCGTCATACGCCGAACTCTCAGCCCATTTCTCCACAGACCCTGAAGGTGTCTGTGTGCCCAATCCATCTTCAGTACCCATCAGCGTGGACTGGCCCTTGTCTTGGATGAGGAACAACTGCCCCCAGTCGGTACAGGCCGTCTTCACCCCGAACACCACCAGGTAGGACACGGACAGCAGCCACAGGTAGGGCGACAGCAGGAACTCGGAGAGGGTGCTGTCATCTACGGAGGTGCCTGAGCAGAAAGAGAAGTGGATAAAACAGACCACTTGGTACGACGATGTACCCAGAGATTGTGACCAATGAGATTCATACAGGAACAGAAACACCTCTTAACAACACGCAGTGTTTTCATTGAGCCTGTGAAGGAGTAAAGTCCACCCACATACTGACCTTCAGTCACAGCATTACAAATACACATAACAGACCCAGCCGGCACAACAGACATTGTCTGAGACAAGCCTGTGATGAAACAATAGAGTCTGTCTGAAACTTGACGCTAAATGCTGATTCAGCATCAGTCTCACCTCCTTTGCCTTTTTTGGTTGCCGCCTCTATGTTAGGCAGACCCACATCCTTGGGCTCATTCTTGATCACCAGCAGGCAAACAATGGAGACAACCAGGCAGATCATCCCAGAGAATGACAAAATCGTCCTCCAGCTGTATGTCTGAGCCAGCACTGTGGCGATGATGGGGCCCAAGCTGCCCGCCAGGTTCATACTGCAGGAGAGAACAGCCCACCACGTCCCGAACTGAGAGGGCTCAAACCACTGAAACAATCAGAGCATCAGGAGGACGTGTTAGCATACAATAAGAAATGAATGGTGACATCTACTGAACAACAACTCTACTGAACAAACCTCTGGCTCCCCTGGAATAGACAAACTACTTTATTAAGTAAGTGGAACAGCAGTGAGTTGTTCCACTTACTTATGGTAAAGGAGGCAAAACAAATCTCAAAGTTTGATTGTTAAAGAACTGCAGAAAAATGTGCCACCTCGGCATCAAACAATCATAACAACTTGACTATCTCGGATGGTTATCTGGGAGCTTTTCCTTTGTCATGTGAAGTTTGCAAAACTCTACAGACTCAGAAATTTGCTGCTACACATTTTTGACTTTCTGATTTAATATTTCTCTTGTTCCAATGATTGCAAACCAGTAGTTACTACCTAAACCTTATAATGAGTACTTCTACTTCTGTCAGTCACTTTTTTTGATTGACCGCTATTAAATATAGGCAGTAGTACTACTACTGGTTATGTGATATTGATCATTTGTTCTCACGGTTCCCAAACTGTGGTTCAGGTGAGCAGAGTTTTAAAGCACAGCACTTTAAATTAAATATTGCACACAGGCAGTTCTTTGCAACAACACTTTTCCACACATTGATGTTGGGATTCATTGTGGAGTTTCAGCCACCAACCTTTCAATATGTCTCTTTTCAATTATATTATCATACCATGTCATATCTTTAATTAGTGTTATGCATAGTAGTAGTATTATGGTGGTTTAAATAAACGTCATCAGGAGTTCAAATGTGATTGCTTTGATTCGCAGGGAGGCTGCTGGGTACCTTACGGAGCACTCTGCCGCATGGAGGCCAGCCCAGGCCCTGGCCCAGGCCGTTGAGGAACCACAGAACAGAGAACACGGCCACAGTGGAGGACCAGGAGAAGACCACGTTGATGCTTCCCACCACGAACAAACCGCTGGAGAAGAGCCAGCGAGCACTGATCTGGTCTGAAAGCACGCCACTGATGAACTTACTGATAGCGTAGGCCAAGGACTGACTGCTGGTGATCATGCCTGAACAGAGAAACACAGAGCAGCAGCTTTAAAATGGTCCTAACAAATATCCCGCAAAAGCATTAAAACAAAGAGCCTCATACCCAGATCATCTTTGTCCAGCTTAATTTCTTGCATCACAGAAGGCATCACAAAGGAGAAAGTCTTTCTATTAAAGTAATAAAGCGTGTAGCCCACGAACATGGCCAGAAAGATTGTGGCTCTGTAGTATCCATAACTTGCTGTAGCCATGGTTGCAGTTTCAGTCCTTGCAGAATCCGAGAAAAACAGAGAGGACCCTGAGAGCGGCTGCCGATCACAGACCTGCGCTGCCTGTGACAGTGAACTTTGCTTGGGGATCCAGGGTGCAGGAGCAGCTGCTTCTACCAGGAGCTGTTTGCAATCAGCGCGGCGAGGTTAAAGGTCAACTTCTCTGCCCTGAGGCTGATTTGAGTCTTGCTGTCGCCCCCGTGTGCCGCTCGGGCCAGAAACCCACCTGATGAAATGTCAGCTCCTCAACTGCAGAGCCAAGTCCGCTCAGGAAGCCCCCGTGACACAGCCGGCCATGTGATGGTGTTACTGAAGGAGTCCTCTGACCGGTGTGTGTAATAATTTACCAGAGTCCAAGAGTCCCAGAGCAGCAGCAGCAGCAGCAGCAGGAGGAGGGAGGCTCCCACCCGCGCGAGGGTTGGTTTCGCCCTGGGAACCATCAGTCCAGATAGAATGAGACATGCGGAAGATACACGTTGAAATTCACTTTAACTCCATTTTCTTTTAAGCGTTACAATTTGCATTAAAAAGGCTCTTCTTGTTCGAAGTGACTTTAAATGGCGTAAAAAACGAATCTCTTCGAGGGACCTGGTTTGCTGTAAATAAAAGCTACGGTTAGAAAAGTTAACTAAAATAACTTTTTCCTAGTTTCCGCATCATGTGGGTCAAGTGGCGCCGCCCAGCGCCTGGGAGCCAATACAACAATAGCGTTGGCTCTCGTGGGAGAATGTATAAAGTAATCCTCCACAATTGTTGAAAATGACAATACTTATCATCTCTGTTGCTATTATTAATGTGAGTGATTTTTTTAAATTTGTGTTATTTTGCCAATAAAGCGTTATCGATGCAATCACCATGAACCACGGCGCTGTCTTTCTAGTAGCCAGCAGGGGGCGACAAAATCATTCAAATCGTAAAACTATCAACTGATGTTTTAGCAGACGCTCATATTTTGCAAAATCTCGCGCAAGTTTCCAGTTTTGATCAGCATAGTATGAGGCGGAGTTCTGTAATTTTACATATAGGGAAATCGGTCGTCCTTGCTAATGTTTACCTTTAAAATAGATGAATGTGCGGAGAGATACACGACATCTGGCTTTGCATGAATATCAAACTCATAAACAGCTGTATCATCGACAGCATTTACAGTAATAATAATAATAATAATTGAAACTCGATAAGACTTGTAAAGTCAGATTGAAGTCGTTTCAACAAAAACAAGTAATATATTTTTAGGGAAGAAAGGTTTCCTGACCGCCAACAGTGACCCCGCGTCTCAGTTCACGTTGCTCCTCCCCTTTTACTGACTGCGTTTTATTTCTATAGCAACCGACAACAAACCTTGTCGAAACTTACAGAGACCAAGTATCCGGGTTATCTAAACGGTTCTTGGATGTGGAGGCTGCTTAGAAAGCACAGAAGATAAGCTCTCGACACTATGGTAAGCTCTGCAACGACATGAACTTTAGTTTCCTCTTATTTCGCTTCCCTGACATTTCAGGCTGCACGAGCGACCGAGTCCATCTCATCTCCATAATTAACGCCAAATCCTTATAGGTTTGTCATTTGTTTGTTTTGCGTTATTGTCGATCCTTCCAGAAACCCGCGTCCATCTCCAGAGCCTCTGGCAGGTACCGCAGGTTGGCCGACACGTCCAGTGTGGACGAGGAACTGTTTGACAAACCGGTGAGGGTCACAGGGGGCCGAAGGTCAAACCGCAGCTTTGACTTGGAGTTTCACATTTCAGATCGTTTTCAATCCATCGAGGGAGATATTCGAACAGCTTCACACATATTCATTTTCCTCTAGAGTACCGTGCAAGAACGAGTTGCAGTCTTTTCTTTTTTTAAATGAGAGGATACAATATCACGATTTGAATGTTATTATAGGAGACAAAAGGCATCCGATACAGGACAAGATTGATCTTTGTTTCTTATGTAGTCAGTTGTAAATATGAACACTCAAACACGTGCTTGCAAGCATAAATAAAAGTAAACATTTCATGTCTCATCCTGTGATCATAACAATTTGTGGTTTTCAATGAGGGATCATGTTTTGACGTTGGTCAATTCATTTGTTTTAATTACAGACTATGCACAATGGAAGATTAAAAAAAATGTAGAATTTTTTATTTTGTTTGTAATCTAACTACTAAAAAAATGTTGGTTTTTCCCCTTGTGTGTATTTTTTAAAGTCATCAAGATATCAGCTGATCCATTCATAGGTTAAAATTATAGATCATAAATCAGATTTTCAGAGTGTTTGAACTGCCTGTCAAAAACGAATTACTCGAGGGTTTATGCCTTGTTGATTAATTGCATCTGCTGCTTAGTTGTGACATTTAAAATATATATTTTAAACGAAAACAGAATCTGGGTGATTTCCAGATGCCAGCATTCTGTTTCTATGCATTTTAAAAAGCATTTTTCACCCCTTTTTCAAATTAAAGACAACATTTAGAAAGGTGGAGTGATCCAATTTCCGTGAAGTTTCATGAACTGCTGCTACTGAATATTTGTTTGTTGGTTTTCACACGCGACTATCCAGAACAACAGCGAATCAATGGCAGAACCAACCAAGGCGAAGAAAGAGCAAAGGATCCTTCAGATCATCACCAAAGACTTAATCCGGACTCTCAGGTCAGGTCTCGAAAAGCCTCTTTAAAGTTTTCAAGTGTTCATGTGTAGTATTGGAGGGGAAGCCATGAAAGACGACACCTAATGGCTCTGGAAGACTGACATGCATAATCCACACGATATTTTACACAAATTTCCTCAATGCTTGCAGAGTTCCACGGATAGAACGTATAGAAGACACCATTTCCCTTCCGTCATCTGGGATTAGAGGGATCATCTCAAATGCTCGCATTGGTATCAATGAAGAGAGAGAAGCTATAAAACAAGCTTATCGTAAAGAAAAAGAGGAAAAACTGGTAACAAATATCAGTTTCATTAAAAAAGACGTTCCAGTCGAAGGTCAGAACTTTAATGTTTTTCTATCTGGTTCTGAGCTAGAAAGCTGCTGAAGAGAGAAAGAATCAACTCGTGGACATAGACCAATCTCAAAAACAACACCCAGAGTTAACAGAAGTGGAGCAAGATGCCGAGAAGCGTTCGAAACGGATCCGCAGTCGGGCCTACGACCTGAAGATGGAGGAAGAGCAGGAGATCAAATCGCTCAATAAAGTAGGCAGCCATAGACTCGTTATAGACGTCAAAAGTTAAATAAAGTGAAAGCTTTCTGGTTGTCATCAGTACTTCTGCTTGTGCGCTGTACAGTTGATCCTGTGTGCTAAAGCTCAAGCCACGTGGGATGAGCAGCTTGAGGAAAAGAAAGAGATCAAGGGCCTGATGGACGAAGAGGAGAAGCGTCTGGACATTATGATGGAGGTGGAGCGACGCAGAGGTTTAGCGGATATGAAGATGATAGAGGACCTTCACAAAAAACAGAGAATGGAGTAAAACAGAACACACACACACACACCTTTTTTTCATTTTACTCAGTGATATAAACAGTACCTTGTAAAAATATTCACTCTTATATTTTTCATGTAAAAATTATAACTAGAGTACTTCAATGTACTCTATTGGACAATTGAGATAGATCAACAGAAAGTAAGGCATAGATGAGATTTAAAGATATCTCACGTAAAGGAACCAATCAAAATAAAGACAGGGGGCCAGGGTCAGGTGATGCAAAAACTTAATGTTTTGGGCAATTAAATACAATTGAAGATAAATAAAGGCAAAGATTTAACTATTTTGCTGCAGCTATCAATGAGTTTTAAATACATGGTTGCAATATTGAGTTATATGATTGGGTTTGATGATGAACTTGGATTATTTTAATTCCAAGTCATGAAGAAAACAAAAATTCAAGTCTGCTTGAAACTCTGACTTCAGAATCAGATTCATTTGTTTTAAATCAAAATATGTTTGTGTAATCAGACAAACAAAGAATTTGACTTTGATTCCACTTTGCACTCAATGAGGACATAAAAAAAAGTTATGCAAACGGGCATTTTTTGAAAATACCTTTCACAACAGAGGAAGACAAGGTTGAACTGAGTGACAGCATTTAGGATGAGGATGTATTTACATTCAAATCATACGTCTTGTGCGTCGGTTTAACTAAAAGAAAAAACAGGATTTAAGTTGGTGTGAAAACTTTCGCAAGGTACTCCATTGTTAAAACAAAATTTATATTTTGACCACATTACATATTCTCTTTCATATGATAAAGTTTGATCTGCCAAAACTTTATCATATTTTAGAGGGAAGGACCAGATTTACGGCCAGATCAAAGAGCGAATGGAGGAAAAACTAAATGAAAACATGCTGAGAGAGCTCGAGAAAGAGCAGATCCATAGGGACCAGGAGAGGATGAACCGGGAATATCTTGAGGTGCTGATATAAGACAGAGGTACATTTTGCAGAGGGAGGTGAAGCTTGGGCAAATTGTGCAACCACTATGCATGTTTTCTTCCAGGGCCTGGAGAGGAAGAAGAAGGAGCAGCAGCTTCTTCAGGAAGAGATTATGCGCATCAATGCGGACGTTATGCGGACCAAGGAGAAGAGGCTGGAAGAGGAGAAGATGGCCAACAATAAAGCTATGGAGTACCTGAAACAGAAAATGGTCAAAAGGACACAATTTCTATATATAATCTGTCCATTGGCCTGGTATATCTTTTCACACTGCATGTGCTTCGCTCTGCACCGATATTTTCATGGCAGGAGCGGGAGGAAGAATTTGAAGCAGAGCAACAACGCCTCAAGAAGGAGAAGGAGAAGGAGATAACTCGGCTGAGGGCCCTGCAGGAGCGGGCAAAAGATTACAAGGCTGAGCAGGTTAGTTGGGGACCGACGTGGGATCTGCTCACTGTGATCCCGCACCGGGATCTTTTCACTTTAAAGCACACATGTTGTTTTGAATTGGAAAGGACGCGATCCGTGCTAAGAGGAGCCAGGATATCAGCGACCGAAAATGGAGGATGCAGCAGAAAGAGCTGGCTGAAAAGAGAGCCAGAGAAGAAGCCAATCTGAAGGCGTCTCGCCTGGAGCAGGTCAAAAACAAGGAGTACTGCATGATGATGGAGGCCAACCGGGAGAAGGCTGACATGGAGAGGGTGCTAAAGTACATACACTGATCCTCTTTTCTTCTTCTTTATTTAGCCAAAAGTACATTTGAAATGTTTCTCGGTTGCTGCTACGCTTCTTTTCACAGGACTCAAATGGCAATAATAGCCAAGGAGAAGGAGGTGGAGCAGAAACATCAGGAGGAAGCGCAGCGTCACGCAGCGAGCCTTCGCCAGCAGGTGAAGGAACAGGAGCTCCTTGCTCTTGAAAAGCGCAGAGAAAGGCTCAAGGAGGCCGAACGGATGTTCGAAGAAGAGCGGCAGAGAAATATGCGCCTCCTTGAAGTCAAAGAACGAAAACTCCAGGAGCTCAAGTGAGTTCGTCTTGGACACGATTTCCTCTTGTGTGTCTCTATCTGTGTGTCAAATGCGTTTCTAATGACTAAACCTGACGTTCCCGTTATTGTGTGCAGGGCTACAGGGATCCCTGAAAAGTATTGCACACAGGTGGAACGAAAGTCCCGGAAAATAATAACGGATCCAAGAGCTGTGAAGGCCTGAAGCTCATCCAGTCATTTCAGAACAAATAAAGAATTTTAATAATTGTTATTTATGAACAATACTTATTGCAATTTATAAATATATACAAGTGTCAAGTAGAAATGATTTATAATTTTGAAATTCTTTTCAGCATGTAAAGCTGCTTCTTAAATGTAAATTTCATGGAAGTGTTCATTTATTTCTGTCAGTTTGCATTCAACAAGCATATAGATTCATAACAGATTTATTTCATATTAATTCTAATGAGTATGGCTTACAGCAAATGGAAGAGTCCAAATCCAGTTTGCCCCCCACCCCCAAAAAAGTTATTTCCTCCACTAGCAGGATAAGCCACTGAAGTTTAGTGGAAGGAAAAACTATGGAAGAAAAAGATGCACAAGAAACAGGAAGGACCATAGCCTTGGGAGGATTTTGAAACAAAGACCATTCAAAAGACTGTGGTGGATGTGGAGCTGCTGCGCCGTATTGAGGGCGTTCCATACCCTGCGTGCCTCCCTGCGCCTGTCAGGCATCGATGGCTGCTACTCCGGTTCTTCGCCGATCTGCCTCCTTGTCGGGTTTGGTGCTCTGGTCAGTCTGAGGCTGCCTCCCTCTTGCTGTTGTTGGGCACTGAACACTCCCAGGTCCCTAATCTTTTCATCATTGCAACGTCTTTGCAATTCCAGTC